AGTGAGTGATGGGTGAGTTAGTGAGTGATGGGTGAGTGAGTAATGGGTGAGTGATTCAGTGAGTGATGGGCGATTTAGTGAGTGATGGGTGAGTGAGTAATGGGTGAGTGATTCAGTGAGTGGTGGGTGAGTTAGTGAGTGATGGGTGAGTGAGTAATGGGTGAGTGATTCAGTGAGTGATGGGCGAGTTAGTGAGTGATGGGTGAGTGAGTAATGGGTGAGTGATTCAGTCAGTGATGGGTGAGTTAGTGAGTGATGGGTGAGTGAGTAATGGGTGAGTGATTCAGTGAGTGATGGGCGATTTAGTGAGTGATGGGTGAGTGAGTAATGGGTGAGTGATTCAGTGAGTGGTGGGTGAGTTAGTGAGTGATGGGTGAGTGAGTAATGGGTGAGTGATTCAGTGAGTGATGGGCGAGTTAGTGAGTGATGGGTGAGTGAGTAATGGGTGAGTGATTCAGTCAGTGATGGGTGAGTTAGTGAGTGATGGGTGAGTGAGTAATGGGTGAGTGATTCAGTGAGTGATGGGCGAGTTAGTGAGTGATGGGTGAGTGAGTAATGGGTGAGTGATGGGTGAGTTAGTGAGTGATGGGTGAGTGAGTAATGGGTGAGTGATTCAGTGAGTGATGGGTGAGTTAGTGAGTGATGGGTGAGTTAGTGAGTGATGGGTGAGTGAGTAATGGGTGAGTGAGTGATGGGTGAGTTAGTGAGTGATGGGTGAGTTAGTGAGTGATGGGTGAGTGAGTAATGGGTGAGTGATGGGTGAGTTAGTGAGTGATGGGTGAGTGAGTAATGTGTGAGTGATTCAGTGAGTGATGGGCGAGTTAGTGAGTGATGGATGAGTGAGTAATGGGTGAGTGATTCAGTGAGTGATGGGTGAGTTAGTGAGTAATGGGTGAGTGATTCAGTGAGTGATGGGTGAGTTAGTGAATGATGGGTGCGTGAGTGGGCGGGTGAGTGATTCAGTGAGTGATGGGTGAGTTAGTGAGTGATGGGTGCGTGAGTGGGCGGGTGAGTGATTCAGTGAGTGATGGGTGAGTTAGTGAGTGATGGGTGCGTGAGTGGGCGGGTGAGTGATTCAGTGAGTGATGGGTGAGTTAGTGAATGATGGGTGCGTGAGTGGTGGGTGAGTGAGTGATGGGTGAGTGAGTAATGGGTGAGTGAGTGATGGGTGAGTTAGTGAGTGATGGGTGAGTTAGTGAGTGATGGGTGAGTGAGTAATGGGTGAGTGATGGGTGAGTTAGTGAGTGATGGGTGAGTGAGTAATGTGTGAGTGATTCAGTGAGTGATGGGCGAGTTAGTGAGTGATGGATGAGTGAGTAATGGGTGAGTGATTCAGTGAGTGATGGGTGAGTTAGTGAGTAATGGGTGAGTGATTCAGTGAGTGATGGGTGAGTTAGTGAATGATGGGTGCGTGAGTGGGCGGGTGAGTGATTCAGTGAGTGATGGGTGAGTTAGTGAGTGATGGGTGCGTGAGTGGGCGGGTGAGTGATTCAGTGAGTGATGGGTGAGTTAGTGAGTGATGGGTGCGTGAGTGGGCGGGTGAGTGATTCAGTGAGTGATGGGTGAGTTAGTGAATGATGGGTGCGTGAGTGGGCGGGTGAGTGATTCAGTGAGTGATGGGTGAGTTAGTGAATGATGGGTGCGTGAGTGGGCGGGTGAGTGATTCACTGAATGATGGGTGAGTTAGTGAATGATGGGTGTGTGAGTGGGCGGGTGAGTGATTCAGTGAGTGATGGGTGAGTTAGTGAGTGATGGGTGAGTTAGTGAATGATGGGTGCGTGAGTGGGCGCGTGTCCCCTTTCTCGGAAGAGATGGATGGACAACCCCCTCCAGTTGCTGAGCCAGGGAAAGGCCCCGGCCACCCTCCAACCCATGATCTCACCCCCCCACTGCCCCACCCCTGAACCTGTGGTTTGTGTGGGCGGTGCGTGAACAGCAGCAGCGGTGTCTTAGCGGCCCGCGTGGCTTTCCTTGAGTGTGTAGACGTGCGTGGGGGTGTATGTTTGTAGGTGTGTGTGTAGATGCGTGTTAGGTGTGAGCAGCTCACAAATCCTTGAAAGATCGGTGAGCTCAGGCGAGGCTGCTTTGGTTGGGTCATGTAGCCCGCATGCCCAGCCACCGCATGCCTAAACAGCTTTTGTTCGGCCGGATCGAGGGGGCTTAACGGGCGCGGCACGGGCTAGAGAAGAGATGGAGTGATGTGGTACAGGAGGACGTGGAGCTGAGTGGACTTGCCGATGACTGGTACCAGCGGTGTCAAGATCGGCCTCTGTGGAGGAGGCTCGTGAAGGACGCTACTGGGCAGTTGGAGGTAGTCGCCCTCCAACAACAACGGAGGGCGGAGGAGCGACACTCACAACAACGAGCGGAGCGCCGGGTGGCTAAAGCACAGCAAGTTGGCACAATAGGGGGCACAGGTGGTGCACCAGCCAGTCATCTCGGTCATCTCAGTCGACCCGTGGCACCTGGGTCTGCCCCGTGACCCCCTGCAAGCGGGCGTTCGACACTTCACGTGGCCTCAAGGTGCACATGGCCTGGCACAAGCGCCGTGGTGACGTCACCGCCACTTAGTGGTGAATGGCGGCCGTTGTTGTAGTATAAGGAGCGGTAGTGCAGCGGGTAGCGCTGCCCTATGAACCCGGCGACCCGAGTTCGATTCCCCCTCGTGGCCAACAACAGTGACGATTTTCTGAACCGGTCCTGGGCCTCCGCTAGGTCGACCCAGCCTCAAATGAGTACCTGGTGCGGTGTGTAGTAAACATTGCCACTGGGGAGACAAAGGCGGTCGGGCGTGATTGCTGGCCACCCACCCCCTCGTGTGCCACAGTGCCGGCCTTCATAGGCGCTGCTGCTACTCGCTACTAACTGCAGTTGCCCCAAAAGTCTGATAGAGGCTATACAGGGAATCTTTGTGCATGTGTAGGTGTGGTGACGTCACCGCTACTTAATGGTGATTGACGGTGGTTGCTGTTGTTGTGTCTGTATGTGTGTAGGTGTATGTGTGTAGACGTGCATGTGTCGTTATGTGTCTAACTAAACCCAAGTTCTCAAAGCGTATTGAGCTTAAGATGGTCTCAAGCCCGGTCACCGAAGACCCACACAGAGACCCATAGACCCACACAGAGACCTATAGACTCACACAGAGACACGTAGACTCACACAGAGACACGTAGACTCACACAGAGACCCATAGACTCACACAGAGACACATAGACTCACACAGAGACCCATAGACCCACACAGAGACCTATAGACTCACACAGAGACACAGACTCACACAGAGACACATAGACTCGCACAGAGACACATAGACTCACACAGAGACCCATAGACTCACACAGAGACCCGTAGACTAACATATGATCACGTAAATAACCACAAACTCATGTGTGTACGTTGAACTTCTTTTGCATTGTACTATTCGGGAGTGTGGGGGCATGACAACAAACTAAACACACAAATCAGCTCTTCCTAATATTTGGTGATCTACTGATGATTGAGACGCTTCCCCATTACCTGGACCTGACCGTGTGTGTGTATATGTTCGCGTGTGTGTTCGCGTGTGTGTGTGTTCCTGTGTGTGTGTTCGCGTGTGTGCGTGTGTGTGTTCGCGTGTGTGTGTGTGTGTTCCCGTGTGTGTGTGTTCCCGTGTGTGTGTGTGTGTGTGTTCCCGTGTGTGTGTGTTCCCGTGTGTGTGTGTGTTCGCGTGTGTGTGTGTTCGCGTGTGTGTATATGTTCGCGTGTGTGTGTGTGTTCCCGTGTGTGTGTGTGTGTGTTCCCGTGTGTGTGTGTTCCCGTGTGTGTGTGTGTTCCCGTGTGTGTGTGTTCCCGTGTGTGTGTGTGTTTGCGTGTGTGTATATGTTCGCGTGTGTGTTCGCGTGTGTGTGTGTTCCTGTGTGTGTGTTCGCGTGTGTGCGTGTGTGTGTTCGCGTGTGTGTGTGTGTGTTCCCGTGTGTGTGTGTTCCCGTGTGTGTGTGTGTTCCCGTGTGTGTGTGTTCCCGTGTGTGTGTGTGTTCGCGTGTGTGTGTGTTCGCGTGTGTGTATATGTTCGCGTGTGTGTGTGTGTTCCCGTGTGTGTGTGTGTGTGTTCCCGTGTGTGTGTGTTCCCGTGTGTGTGTGTGTTCCCGTGTGTGTGTGTTCCCGTGTGTGTGTGTGTTTGCGTGTGTGTATATGTTCGCGTGTGTGTGTGTTCGCGTGTGTGTGTGTGTTTGCGTGTGTGTATATGTTCGCGTGTGTGTGTGTTCGCGTGTGTGTGGAGTGGAAGAGAGGTAGTGTAGCGGTTAGCGCTGCGCTACGAACCTGGGAACCCGAGTTCGATTCCCGCTCACGGCCAATACCGGTGACGATTATCTGAACCGGGCATGGGCTTCCCCTAGGTCGACTCAGCCTCAAATAAATACCTGGTGCGGTGTGTAAACATTGCCACTGGGGAGACAAAGGCGGCAGGGCGTGGTGCTGGCCACCCACCCCCTCGTGTGCCACAGTGCCGGTCTTCATTCGGTGCTCGCTAACAGCACTTGCCCCAACAGTCTGTTAAGGCTACACGGGGTATCTGATGATGATAGTGATGGTGGTGGTGATGGTGGTGAGGATGGTGGTGGTGGTGATTATGGTGGTGATGATGATTCTGCTTATGATGATGCCAATGATGATAATGCTACAGCTCAGTTTAACACCTAGTATTCTTTCGCGACCAATATCATCCATGTTAGATGTTTTTTTTGGGTTACATTAACGACACATTTATATATTTACACAATCTAACCCAAAAAAAACTCTATTAATGCTACTGCCGATTATTCTGCTGCTGCTGCTGCTGCTGATGCTACTCCTCCTCCTGATGATGATGATGATGATGCTGCTGCTGCTGAATCTGCTGCTGCTGACGATGATACTAACGCTAATTCTCCTGCTGCCGGTGATGATGATTCCGCTGCCGCTGACGGCCGTGGCCGTGCCTGACGATGCTGCCTCTGTCGCCGTGCATTGCCCGCGCGCAGTTTGGCCAGCGAGCGGTGGCGGAGCTCGATGAGAAGCTCTTTGACGAGCTCCTGGAGCAGAAGGCCGACCCCATTGTGGGCGCCCTGGAGCCGGGGATGTACGCCGGCTACTTTGACTGGAACGAGTGCCTCTCGCCCACTGGTACGCGCGTACACGCACACGTACACGTACACGCACACGTACACGCACACGTACACGCACGCGTACACGCACACGTACACGCACGCGTACACGCACGCGTACACGCACGCACCAGCGCCTGCCACCAAGTGACGGGGACGTCACCACGGCGCCTGTGCCGGGCTAGGTGCACTTCGAGGCCACGACGCGAAGTGTCGTAGCTTACGGGACAGGCCCAGCAAGTGCCATGGGGTTGAGTGAGATTGGCACGCGCACACACGGGAGTGTAGAACGCACTGCTCCTCACGAACGTGCACGCACGCTTCACACACACGCACGCTTCACACACACGCACGCTTCACACACACGCACGCTTCACACACACGTACGCTTCACACACACGCACGCTTCACACACACGCACGCTTCACACACACGCACGCTTCACACACACGTACGCTTCACACACACGCACGCTTCACACACACGCACGCTTCACACACACGCACGCTTCACACACACGCACGCTTCACACACACGCACGCTTCACACACACGCACGCTTCACACACACGCACTCTTCACACACACGCACGCTTCACACACACGCACGCTTCACACACACGCACGCTTCACACACACGCACGCTTCACACACACGCACGCTTCACACACACGCACGCTTCACACACACGCACGCTTCACACACACGTACGCTTCACACACACGCACGCTTCACACACACGTACGCTTCACACACACGCACGCTTCACACACACGTACGCTTCACACACACGCACGCTTCACACACACGCACGCTTCACACACACGCACGCTTCACACACACGCACGCTTCACACACACGCACGCTTCACACACACGCACGCGCTTCACACACACGCACGCTTCACACACACGCACGCTTCACACACACGCACGCGCTTCACACACACGCACGCTTCACACACACGCACGCTTCACACACACGCACGCTTCACACACACGCACGCTTCACACACACGCACGCTTCACACACACGTACGCTTCACACACACGCACGCTTCACACACACGCACGCTTCACACACACGCACGCTTCACACACACGCACGGGCCGAGCGTGAAGGGTGCGTGAGGGTCACCGAGGTGCACCGTGTTAGGCGGAGGTCGCACTCACGGCCTACTGCAGGGGGCGGGGAAGGCCTCACCCGGCATGGTTCAGTTTTTGACTTCCCGCCGCTGTGCATCGTGAGCCCAAACGAGAGTGACGCGACTCCTCACGGCGACTGCGTGAACCGGTCTCAACCATCACGCGGATGTCGCCCGAGCGTCGCCCGAACGTCGCCCGAACGTCGCCCGAACGTCGCCCGAACGTAACACGAACGTCATCCGTTGTGATCTTGTCACGTCGCTCGGCCTTACCGGGGGAGCGGCGTTACAACGGAGCGTGTTGTGTGTTACAATGGAGCGTGTTGTGTGTTACAATGGAGCGTGTTGTGCGTTACAACGGAGCGTGTTGTGTGTTACAATGGAGCGTGTTGTGTGTTACAATGGAGCGTGTTGTGTGTTACAATGGAGCGTGTTGTGTGTTACAATGGAGCGTGTTGTGTGTTACAATGGAGCGTGTTGCGTGTTACAATGGAGTGTGTTACGTGTTACAATGGAGTGTGTTGCGTGTTACAATGGAGTGTGTTACGTGTTACAACGGAGCGTGTTGCGTGTTACAACGGAGCGTGTTGCGTGTTACAACGGAGCGCATTACAACAGAGCGTGTTGCGTGTTACAACGGAAAGTGTTACGTGTTACAACGGAGCGTGTTGCTCGTCACAACGGAGTATTGTAGTGCCAAGCTGCCGTGTGGACTCACCGTGCCCGTGGCCACGCTCGTTATTCCCCCGTCGCGGTAATGCAGGGGGAGAATTCCCTCTCAAATCCTCGATTGGTTTGGACACAAGCACCGTCGCGAATGCGTGACACGCGGACGCACGGACGGGAATGGACGCACGGACGTGCCCGGTGATTGCCGCTGTGCGTCTGTGTGTGTGTGTGCGTGCGTCTTGTCTCGTTCAGGCGTCAGGAATTACATCAAGGAGACGCTGATGCACATCACCGCTGTCCACGCCGAGGTGAGGCCATCGCACACACACGCGCACACTCACACACTCACACGCACGCACACACACACACGCATGCACACTCACAGGCACTCACACACTGACACGCACGCACACACACGCACACACTCACACGCACACACACACACGCACACTCACACGCACGCACACACTCACACGCACGCACACACGCACAACCACCCGCTCATTACGCACAAAGTTCCTGCCACAAGTTAACTCCAACCGTCTGGAACGCTCTCCCTTCGGACACGAGGAAGCCACTGACAAACTCGCTTGCTGTACGTTCCCGGTGACCCGGGTTCGATTCCCGCTCACGGCCGACACCGGTGGCAGCGATTAATCTGAACCGGTCCCTTGGACCTCCCCTAGTTGGACTCGGCCTCAAATGAGTACCTGGTGTAGCGGTGTGTGGCAAACATCGCCACTGCGGGAGACAAAGGCGGCCGGGCGTGGTGTTGCTGGCCACGCACCCCCTGGCGTGCCACGGTGCCGGCCTTCGTAGGCGGCGCCGCTGCTACTCGCTGCTACTAACAGCAGCACTTGCCCCAAACAGTCTGTTACAGGCTACACGGTGGGGGGGGGATCTTTTGTCTTTGTGTGTTTTGTGTAGCGCCGTGTTTGCCCACGATGTGTGTTCACGTGGGGAACGGCGGTGCAGCGGTTAGCGCGCGGGCGCTACGGATTTCAATTCCCACGCTCACGGCCAACGCCGGCGATGAATGTCTAAAACCGGTGCCGTGCTTTCCCTAGGTCGACTCAGACTCAAATGATTGCCTGGCACGGTGTGTCGTGAACATCGTTAGTGGGGAGACAAAGGCGGTCGGGTGCGGTGCTGGCCACACCACGTGCCGCGTGTGCCACAGTGCCGGCCTTTACAAGGGGCGCCACGCTGGCTAGGAGATGTTAACTACCTCGCCTGGTACGCAGGAGGTCGTGGGTTTGATCCTGACCCTGACGCCTGCTGTGTATTTGGAGTTTGCGTGTCTCTCATCATCACCACGGTGGCTAGGAGATGTTAACTACCTCGCCTGGTACGCAGGAGGTCGTGGGTTCGATCCTGATCCTGACGCCTACTGCTGTATATTTGAAGTCTGCGTGTCTCTCATCATCATCATCACGGTGGCTAGGAGATGTTAACTACCTCGCCTGGTACGCAGGAGGTCGTGGGTTTGATCCTGACCCTGACGCCTACTGCTGTATATTTGGAATTTGCGTGTCTCTCTCATAATCATCATCATCACGGTGGCTAGGAGATGTTAACCACCTCGCGTGGTGTGCAGGAGGTCGTGGGTTCAACCCCTGCTGTATATTTGAAGTCTGCGTGTCTCTCATCATCATCACGGTGGCTAGGAGATGTTAACTACCTCGCCTGGTGTGCAGGAGGTCGTGGGTTCAGCCGGACCCAGACGCCTGCTGTATACTTGTAGTTTGCGTGTCTCTCTCTCATCATCATCATCATCACGATGGCTAGATGTTAACTACCTCGCCTGGTGTGCAGGAGGTCGTGGGTTCAACCCGAACCTGACACCTGCTGTATATTTGAAGTCTGCGTGTCTCTCTCTCTCTCATCATCATCACGGTGGCTAGGAGATGTTAACTACCTCGCCTGGTGTGCAGGAGGTCGTGGGTTCAACCCGACCCTGACGCCTGCTGCTGCTGCTGTATATTTGTAGTTTGCGTGTCTCTCTCTTTCCCCGTGGTCTTTTGTTCCTTTACGGTAAAGTCACGTAGGTATAAGATAAAATAATAATAATAATGAAAAGAAAACAGTCTGCTTCAGCAGCAGACCGTGGCTTCCCCACCTGATGACGGACGCTTTGCTTGTGTTGCGCCCGAAACGTCGTGTTTCATTTCATTGTCCAACCCACGTGACTTTACCAAACGGACCAAAGAGTGTGGGGATTCCTGCGGTCACAAGACACCACGTTTGAGAATCGGCATCACGCGTGCGGAGAGTTTACGTGGCTGCTGCTGTACACTCCCACGTGGTGACGGCGATGGTAGGCCACCGGCTTGAGCTACCGCGCGTGATGGCCAGGGTCGCTTATTGCGAAAAGAGCTATGCAGTAGAGCTCAGCAGGGACCCTTGCGTGGTAAAAAAACAACAAAAGTAATTTAGTTGTTTTTAGTATGGGTCCTCTGTGGGTTGCTGTGAGTCTACGGGAGTATAGGACTCTGTGAGCGCGGCTCTCCGCGGCTCTCTATGAAGTCCCCATTAGTCCGTAGAAGCGTGAGTATTTGTCTGCCGCTATACATTTCCGCACGGTGATGATGATGATGATGAGGCATTTCGTTGAGCTGTCGTTTGTGTTAAAAAATAGCTGCAACCCTCAGTGGGGCCTTACCTGGTAAAATAAAAAATAGTTTAGTTTTAATTTGGGTCTCTGTGGATCTCTGTGGGTCTGTGGGTCTCTATGAATATGGGTCTCTGTGGGTCTATGGGTCTCTATGAGTATGGGTCTCTGTGGATATCTCTGGGTCTATGGGTCTCTATGAATATGGGTCTCTGTGGGTCTCTGTGGGTCTATGGGTCTCTATGAGTATGGGTCTCTGTGGATCTCTCTGGGTCTATGGGTCTCTATGAATGTGGGTCTCTGTGGGTCTCTGTGGGTCTATGGGTCTCTATGAGTATGGGTCTCTGTGGATCTCTCTGGGTCTATGGGTCTCTATGAATATGGGTCTGTGGGTCTATGGGTCTCTCTGAGTATGGGTCTCTGTGGATCTCTCTGGGTCTATGGGTCTCTATGAGTATGGGTCTCTGTGGATCTCTCTGGGTCTATGGGTCTCTATGAATATGGGTCTGTGGGTCTATGGGTCTCTCTGAGTATGGGTCTCTGTGGATCTCTCTGGGTCTATGGGTCTCTATGAGTATGGGTCTCTGTGGGTCTATGGGTCTCTATGAATATGGGTCTCTGTGGGTCTATGGGTCTCTCTGAGTATGGGTCTCTGTGGATCTCTCTGGGTCTGTGGGTCTCTATGAATATGGGTCTCTGTGGGTCTATGGGTCTCTATGAGTATGGGTCTCTGTGGGTCTATGGGCCTTCGTGAATCTCTATAAACATACGTTTAGAGTGTTCGGCTGCTGGTATAAATGTCCACGCAATGAGGGCGATGATGCTGATGATGCTGATGATGATGCTGATTAGCCGCTTCACTGATTAACAATTTGTGAAAGCTGGGGGTCAGTCGCTTTTGAAAAACAGCTGACATTGCAGCTCAGTGGGCGGCTTCCATCTGGTTTAGAATATAATGAAAACTAGTTCACCGTTTTAGTTGATACTTTTTTTCTCCCGAGGCATTGCACCATCGCTGGACGTTGACACGTCTGCCCGGCGCATCCTGACGGGGGATTTTGCAATTGAGCAACTCTGGAAAAAAATATAAAGTTGGCTCCAGAAGCTTCCCCCTTTTCTCGAATTTACTGCTCCCCCCCACTCCAACCCCCCCCCCCACTTCACCCCCCCCCCACTTCACCCCCCCCCCCCCACCACCCACTACTACCCACCCACCGTGGATGTGCGGTCTCCAGAAAGACACGCGCAAGATTGCACAAGATTCCTCTATAACGGTTTATGTCATGCTCAGCGTAATTTCTCGTGTTGTTCGTGTTTTTCATTCTTTCCCACCGCCCCCCCCCCCTCCGTCACCGCCCCCCAAAACCAGCTTAGAAATCTAACGCGTCCTATTCTCTCTTTCTCTGTGTCGCTAGCGGCAGATGCTGCTCACGCTTGCTTGCGAAACTCTCCGTGCGATGACTTTTGCTTTGGGGGAGGGGTTGGTGGAGGTTGCGATTTTTTTTTTTGTTAAACGTGGTTATGCTTTTGCGATTGCTCCGTACGTATGCGTTCGCGCGTTGAACTTCTTTCGCACCATCGTATCGCGGTAGCGAACCATGCTTATCCTCGGGTGCAGGGTGGGGGAAGGGCCACAAAGTAAACGCAAAAAGCAGTGGAGAAATTAGTTTTAAATCCATTGCGAGCGGATCGCAAGCCACGGCCCGGCGCTTTCGCCGCTAGTGGCTAGGGGGGATGCCAACTACCTCGCCCGGCACACAGGAGGTCGTGGGTTCGATCCACGACCCCTGACGCCTGCTGTATATGTGGAGTTACTGCCCGATGTGATGCGCTTCCGGGAGGCCGTAGCGGCCGATGGGATGTGTAAGAGGCAGTCCTGGTTGTGTCGCGGTGGTTATTAGATATTAGCTACAAATCCTGGTGTGCAGGAGGTTGTGGCTTCGATCCCGACCCTTGATGCCTGCTGCTGTATATTTGGAGTCTGCGTGTCTCTCTCTCTCTCTCTCCCCGTGGTCGGGTGGATTTTTCTCCGGGTTCTTCGATTTTTCCCCTCCACATTTAGAATGAACTTCATGCGTTTTAGTGTATTTGGCTGCTGCTAAAAATTACCCTCGTGATGATGATGATGATAAGCCACTTTGTTGTTGAGCTGTCATTTTTGATAGGCAGGTCACTTCTACAAAGAGCTACACAGCTCAGTGGGCCTTACACCTGGTAAAAAAAAAAAATTTATATATAATTTCATCATTTGCAGAGGTGAGCGGTTCGAATCCGGCGGCGGGCCATCCTACTTACAAGCACTATCGGAGTGACAATTTTTTTTCGACCCAGACTGCGCGACAAGCATTGTCACGTAAACGAGGAATCCGTTGGGAAAGCTCGCCACCGTCCGTGTGAATAGAGCACGGGCCAAGGAAGCAGATATCACAGAGCTACCACTCGGAACCCTTCTTCAAGTGATCACTCTGACCCACACAAAACGGCTCGTGGATGCGGATATTACAGAGCAAACCCCTGAGATCCCTGCTTCTTCTTCGTGTGAGCTCTGGTCCCCACAAACACGAGAGAGCATCACCCTTCCCCAGCCGCTCTGCCATGCGACAGTGTGAGGTTCATCGCGCGTGACGGTCAAGCCGACAGTTTAGTTCTCAGAGCTGGGATTCGGGCAAATTATGCACGGAGACGAATCTACCGTAG